ATGAAATGGCGTATGACCTGATTTCTAAAAAAAAGAAATCCCTGTAGATACACAAACCACTACATTAAATATGATTCTCCATATGATTAAATGAGCTTCTCTCAGCTTGCCTACCTTACTGCTTGTTTAAAGCCATTTATATTTTTTTTGGTCTGTGCATGCTTACTCAGAATATGAGAAGGGACTACTCAGTGCATGCACTCTAGTAGTTCCTAGACAATCAAGTTGAGAACTGATAGAGCATTAACCATCTGAAGAGGAGTCACAGCTGGAAATCAGTTGGTGATAACAATGGGAACCACATGGGCAAACACATACACAAATAAACCATAAACAAACATGTTTGAAAAAGAAGAGGGTGGTGTTTTTCAAAATTTGTTAATTGATAGAAATATTTCCTTACAAACTGTTATCAAGTGAGAATAAAATGTAAAGTAGCACATTTGTCTCTTTGCTGAATCACTGTCGATGCTGTGCTGCCAGATACAGCTAGGTGAAGTTGCTGAAGGACCATCATGGACATGGGGTTTCCTTCTTCTGGCAGCTTTGGTCGAGTGCTGTCTTCTTCAGGCTTTTCTGTTGCTTGAAGGAGAACTGAAGGAAGCATGAGAATTTTGCTGCCTGGGCACAAAATCTAGTTGTTAAGAGCTCTCCATCTCTGTGTAGTTTCTCTAGATCAGTCATCATCATGCTAGTCAAATGTTGAATCAAATACATTAAGTCAGCATGGGGCTAACCAGTCTTTAAAGCTGATAGTACACTTTATCTTTCCTGTCTTGCTGCAAGTGTTGCTTATTGAGTTGACTGCACCCAACGATTTACTTGTGTAGTGGCTTGAGCAGCACAGGGAGCATGAGGAACACAGCAGTTGTGGTTGTTACCTCAAAGTGTGAGAAAGTTTGGCACAAAGGGCTAAATCTTCCGTCTTCCAGGGTGGCAGAATCTCTCTGAATCTGGCCTCTCTCCTCCAAGCGCCTCAGGTTCCCCTTCACAAATGCAAATTTTACTTCAGTTTACGTGATCTGCAAGATCTGTGGGCAAAAAGTTTTGCTACCCTACCTGTTTGCACTATAGATGGTACCTTACTATTCATATGCAAAAAGAAAACCCCACTGCTTGCTATCCTTTGACAGAGTGACTTATTTCCTAACAGTGGCATAATATTTCTTCTGGAATGCCATTACTGAATTTTTTTTAAAGTGTACATTTTAAAATGAAATTATTTGACTTGCAGTTTGTGACAAGATAAGGCAGACATATAAATGATATTTTAGTCAGTCACGGCTCCCAAAGTATTATTTATGCTAAGATTTGAGATATGTTTTTTTCTGAGGGAGCCAAGCTGTTATATATTTTCTTCTTAATCTACTCAGTATTCAGATTTCACTGCCAGCTGGAATTAAATATTAGATATTTTCGTTGTTGTTACAGAGCTGAATTATTATAGAGATAATTATTACTGAATATTTCAGGATATATCTTGTACTTAATCCATTTAACACACACTAAAAGGAGCCCAGTTTGCAGTACCAAGAACAAGTCTGTAATTGTTTTAAACTAAAAGATGAAGAAGGCTCAAGGTAAAGGGAATTCAATTAACAAAGGCAAACCTAGATGTAAAAAGATACAGACTTTTTGCTTTATATCATCATAATAATTCATCTTCTTAGAACACGTAGTTAAATTTTAGTGTTTCTGGAGTGTATTGCTAGTAGAGAACATAAAACTCTTGAAAACTTTGTATCTGCTTATGCCTGCAGGTTGGTTTCCCTCTTGTTTCATGCTCGAGTCCTGTTTGTCTTCATTTCCCCTATGGCTGTCCAGGACCACCTCAGAGAAGCTTGTGCCGACCCAGAGGAAGTGTTTGCCAAGGCTGGCTTCATGGACGATAGCAAGCTATGGCAGATCATAAGTCTTAAAAAAAGGAGGAGTCCCCTCTCCATGCCAAGAGCGTGTGGGAGCTCTGCAGTCCTGTTTGTCCTGTCAGGAGCTGCACCCTGTCTCTGGCAGGGATGTTGCTGTCTCACCTCTAGCCAGTACCAGTTGTACTTAAAACTCAGCAGGTCCCACCATCCACGTGCACAACAGGTCTCTGCATGAGTCTCTAAGGCTACCACACCAACTACAAAGCTAAAGTTGGGTGAAATGAATTCCACTCTGGTATTTCAGAGCTGAATTAAGAGGAGCAGTCTAAATAGACACTGAAGACTCAGTTTGTTCTGTTTTGAACTACAGTATCAATTAGATTTTTTTAAAAAGTTTGAGATTTTTTTCAAAGGGCATTTTCCACACCAAAAAAATGATCAGTGTAGGAAATTTTAGGTCCAATTCACACATCTCTATAAGAATCCCAGCATTCTTACAGTGTCAGAGAACATTAATCCTGATTTTCCATGTCCTTTGCATTGTGGAAACTATGAGAATCTCACTGCAAACATAAATCAGGTTTATAGCCTGTACCATCTCAAACACTGTGTACATACACATACAGATATATGTGTATTAACATAGAGAAGATCAGGAGATGTTCTACTAAAATCAGCAGCATACACTTTTTTTTTGGCAGGGTGTAAATCTGGATTGTGTGAAGAAACCCTAAGTGACAATGGCCTATAAAGTCAGTCTCTAAAAGTGGATAATCTTGAGTCAGTGCTGGAACTCCTTTCTTTATTCTCCTTTCCTGGCCTTGCTTATGTCTTAGATGAATGCTCATAATCCCATCCTCTGACGAGTTCTTCCCAAGAAAGAGAGGTTTTTATTCTATTCTATTATGAGTCATGCTTGCTATGTTCTGACCAGGCCAGAAAGAAATACAGGAGCTGATCTTCAATGGACCTTGATCCAGGGGCATAAATTATGTTTCTATACGACAATTAAAACATTAACTTGTTAGGGCAGGCTCTAACTCAGTGAAATCGCTTTACATGAACAGGTTTTTATTCCTCTGTAAGAAAGACATTAAAAAAATGGGAAAGAAATTTAGACTTCTTTTATTTCAAATGTTTGTGGATATGAAATATAGTGATGAGCTTCCATGTAACTCACAACCAAAGTAAAAGTAAGCATTGTGATTTTTTCCATAGTGTGTTGGCGACAAGCCATATAAATAATAAAATAAAATAGATTTCCAGGTATAGGAAATCAAATCATGAAATAATCAGACCTCACAGTAAAATATCCTCATTAAGATAATGTACTTAAATGAGCTACATTGCAGCACTCTATTGCATCCCTACACTTTAATGTAGCTACTTCTGCATATGTTTTAGCTCACCAGTGCCAAAAAGGAAAATGGCCTTTAAGAAATGGCCATTGTCCTCTCATTGCCACTTCCTTTCTCATTTTCTTAATTCTACCAGTTCACTCTCTCATTTCTGGTACCTCATGCTTTCATCCCTTTGTTTCCTCAGACTTTTAACGTCACTTCCAGCTGAGACAGATGAATAGTCCACTGCTTTTAGCAACTGTACATTTTTGTAGTGATTCTGGGATTTCTTTATAACTCAAGCTTCTTGCTCTGCACTGACTGATAAGAGACACACTCATATTTTCAGGAGTCTACAATCATGCCATACAAAATATTAATTCAGACTTGATAAAAGGAGTCCATGGCCCTGGAATTTATTTTGTGCTAAAAGCATGTCTTAATCAAAGGGCTAGTCTGTCAGCTGGGAGTCTGAATCAGTCAAGGAAATGCATGACCCACCCAGCATCATTGTACTCATTTACTTTTTATTCAAATGAAAAAAGAAATAAAGTTTAAAATTTTGACCACTTTATTGTGCGTTTTATTCCAATACCGAATTGTGCAAATCCTTACATGGCATGTTGGATGTGGACGGTACCCATTTCATTTCAGAAAAAGACAGCAATGTAAAGCACACCAAACAGTAAGATTGTTCAGGTTTGGAAATGCTAGTAAGCTTTACTTACTGTGTTAACATTGTAAAATGAAAGATGTCCCTCTGCCCCACACTGTTCGAGCTGTGAATGTATTTTCAGAAATATACCCATTTTCTAATTCAATTTAGGAGAATGATGATAAAGCCCCTGAGAAGTGTTCTCCTGCCTCCCCTTGCCACGTCTGAAGTATTGCTGTAAGCACAAGAAAAATAAAGACCTGTGAGTCCAGCTTTCACGACACTTAATCGGATCCAGTCAACACTGCAACAGCATCCAATGGTAACAAAGTCAATGTAATGAGTATGTCATGACACCAAGTTGGGTGGGAGAGTTGATCTGCTCGAGGGTAGGGAGGCTCTGCAGAGAGACCTGGACAGGCTGGAGCCATGGACTGAGGCCAACTGGAGGAGTTTCCATCAGGCCAAATACTGGGGGCTGCCCTTGGGCCACAACAACCCCCAGCAGCGCTACAGGCTTGGGGAGGAGTGGCTGGAGAGCTGCCAGTCAGAGAGGGACCTGGGGGTGCTGATTGACAGCCGGCTGAACAGGAGCCAGCAGTGTGCCCAGGGGGCCAAGAAGGCCAATGGCATCCTGGCTTGTGTCAGCAATAGTGTGGCCAGCAGGGACAGGGAAGGGATCTGACCCCTGTACTGGGCACTGGTGAGGCCGCCCCTCGATTCCTGTGTTCAGTTTTGGGCCCCTCACTCCAAAAAGGACATTGAATGACTCGAGCGTGTCCAGAGAAGGGCAACGCAGCTGGTGCAGGGTCTGGAGCACAGGTCCTACGAGGAGCAGCTGAGGGAACTGGGGGTGTTTAGTCTGGAGAAGAGGAGGCTGAGGGGAGACCTCATCGCCCTCTACAGCTCCCTGAAAGGAGGTTGCAGAGAGCTGGGGATGAGTCTCTTGAACCAAGTAACAAGTGATAGGACAAGAGGGAATGGCCTCAAGTTGCACCAGGGAAGGTTTAGACTGGGTATTAGGAAGCATTTCTTTCCAGAAGGGGTTGTTAGGTGTTGGAATGGGCTGCCCAGGGAGGTGGTGGAGTCCCCATCCCTGGAGGTGTTTAAGAGTAGACATAGTGCTGAAGGATATGGTGCAGTTGGGAACTGTCAGTGTTAGGTTAATGGTTGGACTGGATGATCTTCAAGGTCTTTTTAAACCTAGACGATTCTGTGATTTGTGTCGTACATTACAAATACACAAGCACATACACGGCATAAAGCTGGATGTTTATATGAGAATTTGGTTTGAAAGCAAGACCCCTACAGAAAACCTGTTAGGAAGGAACCCTGAGAAAACACTGAATAACCACTGTCTTCTCTCTGCCAAAAAAGCTGTTAAGAAATACTGCCTCAAAATCAAAAATTGTGCTGAATGAGCAAAGGAGTGGTCAAAGAAAAAACAGCTGATGCAGGGAACATCCTCCACCCTCCTTGACGCTCACACACTCACATGCAGACTGATCTCTCTTGCAAGAGTTGCAGATTCCTGCCTATAAATGTCAAGCAAAGTTCCTCATGGTAACACTGCCTGCTCTCCATGCTGACAGACTGCAGAAGTTCAGAAAGGTGTAATTTACCCCTCTTTGTACCATGATGAGCAAGCCTGTCCATTAAAACAATTACTCTTTTTACTTAGTGGATTTAAAACCCTTGGCATAGCTTCAATGTGATTTTGGTATGATTGCATATGCAAGAAAGCAAAAACCAACAATCTGGGCCAACGTCTGAACTCTGTGTCCCTGAAACCACAGGGAATTTTGTTTGAGCAAGGAGTTCAGAATTTGGCCTCAGTGAAAACAAGCTTTAACAACAACACGGGCCGGCCTCAGCACCACTAGTCAAACCAGTGATCTCCCATGCAGGTTCTGTTCCACTCCAGGCCACAGTTCCAGCACCACTCAAATCTGCACTGAGGGCGAGGACATTTCATGTGCATGCAGCCACCTGCAAAATAGCAATAGAATGACTTTGGTACTTGACAAACACTTAGAGATATTAATCAACAATTAAAAGTGTTAAAACCAACTTTCTTAGGCATTCATTTACTAACCAAATACTTAATAAAAGAGAAGTACAAACCTGAGGAATACTTTCCCTAGGCTACACATAAGGT